AAGATTACAGAAATTGAACGTTTTTCGTAATCTTTGATCGGCCCATTCTCAAATGCCTTTCTCCGTTCCTCCTCTCATTCCGTTTGTTCCTTGCCGAACCCGTAATTCCCTGGTCCATTTCAGATTATAATCTTTGCAATCGGTGAAACTGTAATCTTTATTCCCGTTTGTGACACTGTGGAGGCCTAAAATACGGGAACCAATCAGAAATGGATTCAAATTGTCTTGACTCTCAGTATAAAGGGACTCTAGGAGCGCTGAGCGCGAGTCTCTGCGTATGCGTCATCGCTAGTCGCCGCACACTAGTCTCCGGAGAACTGGACAAAACAGCCTCGAAAAGTGACTTCATCGGCGATCCAGTACTTTGCGACTCTATTGTACTCTATGTTATTCTATGCCAAAAAGTAAATATTGTGAATTTGTGACAATTGATCCCATCCCAAACAAAATTTTCATAGAATTTTCTCTTTGGTAATTGTTCAAGACTGACCAACTAAAATCAATGCCATACATAATTGTGAGCAGCATCATTGAGCAGTGCCCGCGGAAAGTATCGGTCTCTGGTCTAAAAGGTCAGCTCTATTCATTCATCAACAGCCTTTTTGCTTTAAAATCGGTGTTATCTGGACCTACTTTCTTCCTTCCTCCTACCACTGTACTCAAAGTTTCAAACTGTCGTCTTGCTTAATCTCTTATCTTTTCTCTATTCGCATCAATACCCATTTTCATCAAAAGTCCTGAATCTACCAACCTGAATCTGTCTCACCGTCTCCATATCAGGTAATATAAACTTCTCTCATTTTAAGGATTACCTAAGACACCTTTTGTTTTAATAAGAAGGCGTTGCCGATTAGAGTTACGTTTCTATGAGCACTCTCATTGCGCTTGATGCATATAGTGGGACACGGACAGAGAATATATAGGCTACACCAACTGAAGGCTCACTCCCGTTTACTCCAATGTATCGCGTTTTGTACTTTCCAGCGTCTCTGCATCATTGCCGCGTGAATGTGTTCAGGTAGATTATGGGGGTAGGAAGAAGTGCGTTTCGCCAATCAAACCGACTCGAGGTCGTCCGAGCCTCAGACTAAAGGCAAAATACAAACAATGCTTTCTAGGTGTGTTCTTCTTCTTTGACCGAGATACGCTGGGAGTGAGCCTTCCGTTGGTGAAGCCTATATATTCTGTGACACGGATTCAGCATGCAGTGAAGAAGGACAGTTTACTTATACATGGGTGATTTCATGATAAAAGGAATGGGTTTCAAACGACTTAAGGCCAAATAGGGATGGACGAATATTGAATTTGAATGCGATTATTTGATTGCAATGATTTGAGAAATTGAATCTTGCGATTTTGAATACTTTGAAGCGAATATTCAAATCGTTCCGATTTTTGATTTTTTTGTAACGGTGCTCCGCAAATACAACAGGGTGGTGGAACAAAGCTTGTACAGATTCTATTTATAGATTCTACAGGTTCTATTTTTCGCATGTTTGGAAAAGTATTTCCATACGATGAACTTTTTTCGAACCATACTGGTGGTAACTTCGACTCCAGGGCATGTAGGTCTGTACTGAATGGTCTACTGGTCTAGAGGAGAATTTTCTAACCTCGTACTTAATTTCGAATTGTAGGAGGGAAAGTAGTAGATAATCGCAGTTTTACCTTTGCGTATATTAATTGTATATTCAAATACTTTCACCAACATTTGATTGTGATGCGATTATCTTGGTGACGATATTTCAAGTATCGAATATTGATTATTGAAATAATGGAGCATCCCTAGGGCAAAACGATTGAAACCCAAGTTGATAAATCAATAGAACTGATGTCCCTGTACTCATGCATGCGAAAAACATGATGAATTATGATTATATTTAATGGACTTTGACGGCCGAAAATGTCTGGTTGGTTAGCGTCGCCAACCTTGATTTTAAGGCAAAAGAGCAATTTGCAGTAAGTAATAAATCAGTTCTGATCATGGATTCTTTGGCAATATTTGCCATGAAGAGACTCTAATGTTCAAGAAAATTGCCATTTTAACTGAAGTGCTTATTTTGAAGCAAGAAGAGCCTTTTAAAAGAAGTGTCGCCATCTTTGGCAATATATCATGGCAGTTGTAATAAGTGAGTGTTTATCTCGCCAGATGGAGCCAGGAGTTTCAAAACTGTCATAAAATGGTTTGCTGAGGTCCTCTTGACTAAACCATTACTCATAAGTTGGCTCGCTGTACAATGATAACTTTAATTTTTATGAAAACCAGTGATTTTTAGGTGTGTAGCTCTAATTCCTCAATACACAAAATCCTCAATGTAATGTAATGAAACTAATAAGAAGTCTCCACAGTTTGGAGAACTTATACTTAAGGCGCGATCAATTCCACCTCATATCTCCAAAATTGCCAAGTTTTATCTTTTGTGTCATCTTTTATTTCACATTTTGAAGTGTCGGTTACGCTGTGTCAGTTACGCAACTGACAAAAGGCAGTGCCGCCATGTTGCGTGCATAGAGAAAAAAAAAGGAGGTGTTTCCATTTCGGGCATCTTGGACTTTTTTTGATGACGTAGGTCGGTACGACGATTTTTATCATCGATTTTCTTGGAAATGGTGTAATTTATGGAAAAAAGTCATTCCTTTAAAAGTACTTGTAATTATATCATGAGTTGATTTAAGGCAAAAAATCGGACATTACGCTCCGTTTTTCATACTTCGAATCCTGGATTTTGCTGGCCAGGTTGCAACAACCTACGTCACAGGGTAAACAAACCTCAAGATGCAAACATCTCCTTTTTTTCTCTATGGTTTGCGTGGACCTCAGCAGATCATGTTGCGATGGGATTAAATCATTTTATTGTCTTTTGGAGGTGAGAAACCTGCTTAAAGGTACCAATTTGTAACCGATTTATGCCGACCTCATAATGGTTTTGTATATCTCACAAGAGCTGGGTGTCTTCCGATCCCCAAAAGTCCCCAATGTCCCCGATTATCCCCGATTTTGGAAGGGTGTCATGCCCCCGATATCCTCGAAAGTCCCCAATTTTCTTGTTCAGGTCCCCAAAAAGACAAAAATCGTCCTAAACACCGGCATTTTCAAATTTTCCCGCTAAATTTTTCCGGCGGCGCGGAATATCCAGGAATAAGAAAAAACTGAAGTGTTGCTTGGTTTTTTGTATGTTTTCATTGCTTCAACACACACACACACACACACACACACACACCCTCACACACACACACACACACACACATATATATATATATATATATATAGTCGCTTTATAACGCACTCTGGCGTTCTGCGACACCCAAACGCCACATATGCCTGTCTTCCCAGAGGTTATCGGGCAACTGACACCGCAACATCTCTTCGTCAACGCCCTGCCGCCAACCCTTTACGGGACGTCCCCGTCGCCTCTTCCCAGGTGGTACCCAATCCAAAACTTGTTTGGGCAACCTCTCCTCCGACATTCTTTGCACATGTCCATACCAGCATAACTGCCTGGACATGACGTCGTGCACGATATCTTTCTCAACCTTCATCACCTGGCGAATTCTCTCATTACGGACACGGTCCCGTCTCGAAATGCCGGCAGATCGCCGCCAAAAATCCATTTCAGTTGCTTCAACATGACTTGTGAAATTTGTCGCATAAAATAATCCTTTTACATGACTTGTGAAATTTGTCGTATAAAATAATCCTTTTAACGCTGTAACCAGCTCCCTTTCTCTTACTATTTCAGGAAAAAAAGTCCCCGATTTTCTTGAAAAAGCTCCCCTAAAAGTCCCCGAAAGTCCCCAATTTTGGTTTTTCACAACTGGTAGACACCCTAAAGAAGCAGTTGGGCCCACCATGAGGGTAATGCATAACACGGCTAGAAGATCTTGTGTGAGTTTGGCCAGAAAAAGAATAACCAAGAGGAAAAGAACTAAAAATATTGTATCTTGAAAACGAAAAAAAAATAATATAAATAATAAAAAAATAAAATACGGCAGATCATAGGGTGATGGATGGGATCCATACACAGGTTTTCAACAAGATCTCTCAATTTGAATTGTGAAACACACATTCAACCCTTATTCTATATTATACTAGCAACTCAACGCATGCTTCATAAAGACGGTATGATCTAGACTTTCTTACGGCTTTTGAATTTTTATCAGTAGCTTAACTATATTCTTATATTCTGTTTTTGCACTCTCTTCTGGATCGAGAGGAAACTTTTGTGGATACGTCGATCATTGTAAGTAAGTAATGCTAATCCGTACAGCAGAGAATATTCTGAGAATGAATTCTGTTGGATTATTTAATTAATCAGAAAATGTCATTGGAAAAGCAATGATTACGTAATCTATGAGCTCATGAAAATTACTATTTGTTGATCTCAATGACGGCTCTTTTAAATAAACGAAGAGGTTTTTTATCCTCTTTTTCAGTGGTTCAATTTAATTACATTTTGTAATAAGGAACTTCAATTTCTAGTTCATCCGTCCAAACTAAATGCAAAATATAGGCAAAATCTGGTTTCTACTTTGCCCCGATTCTACATCTTCGAATTGATGAATTGGGCCATACATTGCAGTTGGGACTACAATTCCTGTCTTGGTTTAGAATCAACTCATGTCACATACAGGATCGGAGAGGATCGGTACACAAATTTCCCAAAACATCGGACAAACGGTATGACCCTCATTTCGTGAAAATGGTAAAAACTGCTCTTTACTATACCTATCTATAATAGTGAGGTCGCTTAGGGTCAAAATAGTTCAAACTAGGCTATACCTACCAGCATAAAACTTGGTAAACATGTAGTTGACCGTACCTAGAACGAAAATCCATCGGGACTCAAGCTGGATCTCCCATGTTTCCCCGTATATTGGCCGCCATTTTGGAAAATGGCCGCCATAATCTGATTTGCACTGTTATCTCATTTTTCAGGCATTCTAACTTACTAACATGAAATTTAGCAGGAATATGCTTGAGTGTGTCTAGAATGAAGAAAAATTAACACTAAAGCCCAGTCGGCCATTTTACCCTTGCTATTGGCGGCCATTTTGGAAATTAACAGCCCAGTCCTGCTGCTTCGCGGTATTCCTCAGTAGAGTACCACAGACATTGAATAGAGTAGACCGTGCACTCCCTATCTCCGCCGTGTCAGCTGAGCGAGGCAACTTCGGCGGGACTCCGTAATGGGCGGGCGGGGTGGGAGCTCGCGACTGAGCCCCCCGCAGCCTGAGCCGGCGTTGCGCGTACTTGGAAAAATTAGTTGCGCGCTCGGATTTTCGCGAATTACTCGTTTCCACTTCATTTTTCGGCAAAATTTACAAGGACCACATGTTAATAGCATGAAATTTACTATTACTCTGAACAATTTTCGTTTCTCTACAGTCATTCTTGACCGGAAAAAACGCTTCATAATGGGCCTGTTGCAAACTTTTGCTATATCAAAACTAAGATTTGTTTCTTATATAGATAATGCCTCAAAAATCACGATGAGCGCATTGGCAAAGTCTGAAATGCACTCATAACTTCACAATCTGCGTAAGAAATTTGCGGTTTTTTGAGCTTCCCGCTTCAAAAACGATACTACGGCACAGGTGAACATTTTGTGAGAGGAGGCGTTCCATCGTCGGCAATATTCATCATGGCCGACGCCAGTTCGCCAAAACACGTATGATGAGACGAGATAACACCTGAACAGCATTAGACCAGATAACAATCGGCGTGTTTACGTTCATATTTTCCTCGCTCGCCTTGATTGACCCTGAACTCACCTCGAATTACGCGCGGAACTGCGGAAGCGTCGGCCATGATGAACATTGCCGACGATGGAACGACTCCTCTAACAAAATGTTCACCTGTGCCGTAGTATCGTTTTTGAAGCGGGAAGCTCAAAAAAACACACATTTCTTACGCAGATTGTGAAGTTATGAGTGCATTTCAGACTTTGCCAATGCGCCCATCGTGATTTTTGAGGCATCATCTGTAGGAAACAACTCTTATATTTGCTCTAGCAAAAGTTTGCAACAGGCCCATTGAAAATAGACGGATGTTTTTATAATGCGAGCAGCTTGTAAAGATGACGGCGTGGATAAGAAGTAATTTTGTAAAAGTTACAAAAAGGATTTAAAATGAGGTCAATCATATAGGTAAATCAAGGGTAAAAACGAGGAATAGTGTTATGTATTGTACATAAAAAGGCAAATAAAAGTTACGAGAGAGTTACTTATAGCTATTGTCCATCTTGATCTAAGAGAAAGATTTGATGAAAAGCTGAGAAACAGGGGCAACGATTTAGGCAGTTTCAAAGTAACGAGATTTCAGATTATTCCACTGAAAAAGATAATGTTCAAGCATTATTATCCAACTAATTTGCGAGTCGCAACTTAATGTTATTTAATCTGCTCAAAAATTTCAAAATCAATACTTCAGTCACTTGTTTATGACTGGCGATCGTGGATACTGTTTATTTTCAAAAAGTTTGGGTAAGTAATTGCTCTTAATTCCTTTGCATTTTTAGGCGGCTCTGTGATCAAGTCGCTGCGCTCGAGAAGGGCACGCACCTCTTTTTAACAATGTTCCAGAATCTAATGTCGCCTACATTTGTTTAGTAGAGTAGTTTCTAATGGTGAATTTCAAGGATTTTTTTCACAGAAAATTGCTGAATCATGAAAAATAACTCAGTAGAAATTAGAGTACCTGTATAGCGAGTAGAAATTTCAACGAAATCCATGAATTTCTTTCACTGATGAAATAATAGTAGAGATTTTGAACCACCGCAACCAAGAAGTGTCATTCTTGCACCCAGTGCCTCAATTTTTCTACACATTGCAGTGCAGTGGATTCTATGAAATGAGTTTTTATCATGTCCTTACTTTCCTCTATAAAATTAAAAGAACACAGCACTTATGCTACGTTTTCAGCAAAATGCTGAGGGCATTTACTTAATATTACGTTTATTACAAATAAATATCACAAACGGAAACAACACTATTTTGAAATTGAAGACACTAAGTGGACTACAATTTTCAATGAAAAACTGCTATTTTTGGCTCATTTTAGGAAGAACAAAATGTGCCATTAGTTCATGATCGGTTGTTGTGTCGTGTATTAGTTTCCTGTGTAGATAGGTAATAAAACAAATGAACCAAATATAGTAGTTTCTTAAGGCTAAATGTGGTCAAAGTCTAAAAATTATCATCAGGACATAATCATTCTTGTCTCTTGCCCGGTTCATCAAGAATTTGCTCATGTGTAAGCATACCATAAATTGAGAGTTGTGTGGTGGTTACTCATAAAAACTAAAACTTATCTTCACACAGAAACATTTGATTATAATTAAAGTACACATCAGCCGAAAATATTCGCACTAATCAATTAATAATTAAAGATTTCGGAGCCGAACCGTACCAACCTCGTACTAGCGCACTGTTCGTTTACCGCGAGCTGGGGACGGCTGGGGCTCACTTACCTCACCGGTGCCGTTTCGGCGTCCCGCAGTCATCGGTCGGTGCGCCATGCGAATGAAAGAGAAGTTGCCTCCGCTCCATTTCACAGCGCACGGTCTACTCTATTCAATGTCTTTGTAGAGCACCGTTATAGACAAGAGTATGACCATTCGTATCTTTTTACTACAGGAAAGCTGTGCCGCTTTTTAATTGGTTAACGAGTTTTTAGGCTTCATGATGCTCTTAAGGCCGTAAATAAACAAACAAGATGGCGGCTCACCGTAACATCGATGAGAAGCTACAATTTGACATAAATTACACGGCAGTAACAATTTAAATTAGCATATCTACGAATAACACGTAAAAAACACATGAAAACCCTGTTAAACGCCTTTCGCCTTTATCACAGGAGGATGTAAGATGTGCATGACCTCAAACTTGCTTGCTGATAACAGGCATCTTGTTTGTTTATTTTCGGCCGTAATAACATCGTGGCAGCCTATTTTCACGCGACCAATGAAAAACCGGCACAGAAATGGTCATACTCTGTCTATGAAGGTACTCTATTCCCCAGATATGCGCAGCTGTTTTGCAGCTAGACGAGTGCATTTTGGCAGGAATATCCATAAGTGTGTTGGAAATAGAAATTCATCAATACCAAAGTTTGGTCGGCCATTTTACCGCCGAACTTGGCCGCCATCTTGGAAAAAAGCGATCTGCCCTGTTCCGTCGAGGTTTGTCGGATTTTCGTGGCTGTTTTAAAGCTAGACGCGTGAATTTGGCAGGTACACCCAGAATAAAGTTGGAAGTACAAAAACGTCGAGACCCTAGTTCCGCCGGCCCTTTACCTATGTTATTAACTGCAATTTTGGAAATAGCGGACCATTTACCCAACTCCAGGTGACGGACCCCATCTCTGTGTGGTTCTCAGATTTTAGGGGCAAAGTTACCACCAGAAGAATGAAATTTGACTGAAGGATACATGAATGTGTCCATGCATATAAAACATGTAACGCAGAAATAGCAAATAGAGTAAGTAACATATTTCATTATCCGGTGGTAATTTTCCTCGTACAAAGGGCCAAATTATTGTAAAATATAATGATGAAACAACTGCAAATATGCGAAGTTTAATTTGCAGTGCATTCCTCTTTGCAGATGTGATGGACAGTGTGATCCAAAATGAATTCTAAAATCTTTCTAAAACAATTCTCTTTTTTAAATTAACCCAAGATGTATGAGTTTGCTACGCAGTTTTACATTCATTTTGAAGAAGGAAAATTTTGTTTTGAGTGCGCGAAACAGAAAGTATGAAAATTTCAACTATATTTTTGGCGCAAACCGAAGTAGTTGCACCAGCCAGAACTGTGGTTGAATCAACCATACCTTTGGCTAAAGCAACCTCACCTCACCTGCTGCCGCCAAAATCAGCCAGAAACTTATGTATTTGAAACTATCACACCACTTTTTCGGCACATTGCTTCTATTACCCATCGAATAATCTTTACCCATCGAAGTTTACACAATTTTATTGCAGATATTTGTCTTTATTCCTATTTTTTTTATTTTTACATTTTTTAAAAATTTATTTTGAGCATTTTGTATTTGAGCAATTCAACCAGAATCAGCTCAACTACCTTTCAACTTGCCTAATTTGCTCTCATGTTTTATTTTCGCCACAGAAAATTAGGAAACAAATCATATCAAAGCTTTCCGCAACTGTCCACTGACCTGAGAAGGAGGTACTCACAAAACTTCAAATCAGAATATTCCTCAGCTTTCTAACAGTAAAACGAAACACGAGAAGCCATTTTGCAAAGTCTTATACAGTCATCCTGATTCTATGCAAATTCCTCCATTCAATCGTACAATTTCAAGATAAAAGATCTTGTGACTATTTTGTTCTTTTCTCTCAGAGGAACTTAAATAATCCTACGAACAAAAGACCATTGTAGGTACTCATTACTATTATAATATTCTTATGTTCTGAAGTGGAATCTGCTCGAAAAAATAATTTGAATTTTTTTTTCTTTTTTTACATTGTATCATTTGTTGATTTTCACAAAATGTAAAATATTTCATGGTTTCTTTTTTTAAAAGACCGTTAGGTAGGCACCAAATGAGTTCCAAAATTCCTACGCTATGTGTCCCTTGTTTACTTTAACTTCGATTTTAAAAGGTGCTAAATTAGTGTTTTAAGAAACATTAGAAAATGTCCTGAAGCGCAGCGCG